GAATGTGACAAGAAGATCGATTATGAATCTTAAATTTTTGTTGTAGATTTTTGGTGAAGAAGCCCGATTTTTAATGCAATAACGTATTAGTCTTATTTTTATTTGTATTCAATTAAAGTGTTTTTCATTCATAGTATTTTCACTTATTGTTTTTCAATTATAGAAAAATAAAAGACGTCAACTTTTATCATGGGTATACCCGACCCGATACCGAGACCCAATGGATCCAAATATAAGATTAAACTTCAAGACCCGTCGGGTAAATGATTGCGGTTCATGATTAATTTTTTTAAAACAGGTACGGGTATAGAACACTATGGACCGGCTCGAACCCGAGCCATTGACAGGCCTATTCATGACCCAATGTCACCGAGCCATTTTGTTTTTTTAAATTTTTAAATTCACATTAACACTTATATTTTCTACTCCGTATTAAATAAATTTAAAATATCAAAAAAAGTTTTAAATCTATAAAATTATTTTATTTTAAACTCCGAAATAATTTTTAGATATATAAATCAATATAAGAAATTTAAAAATGCTTAAGTTTTGGAAAAAAGTAAGATAATTATGCAATATCATTATAATTTCGTCTGGAGATATAAATTTATACACTAAAAAGTAAAAACGAGTTGTAAAGTGTATGATTTTGAAAAATTCTTACTTTAGAGGGTCGGTTAGGTCGGGTTCGGGTTCTTTCGGGTTTGACCTATTTTTAGCGGGCCATTTCGGGTTCGGTCAACTTCGGGTTCGGTATCAAAACCTTTGTTCAAAACCCAGTGTTTTCAGGTCGGGTTTCGGGTCAAAAACAGGTCGGGTCAATTTTTGCCAGGTCTAATTTTACTCCGTATTTATCTTTCTTGTTCTTCCATTCTATTTCATTTCATTTCGTTTCATTTCATAACCTTGGTTATTAAGCTACTCTGTGTTTAAACAAATGATCTTTTTTAGATTAGTTGTACAAAGTATATCACTATATCTTTGTCAACATCTCATGTAAATTTTCTGACAGGTTGCAAGAACTGTGCCAATGTTTGTCCAAAGGTGTTTGGCATTGAGGAAGATTTTGGAAGAGCTAGAGCTTACAGTCAGTCTGGAAGTCGTGAATTAATTCAACAAGCTATAGATAGTTGGTAAGTTCCCTTTGCCTCCTTGAGTTATCATTATATCGAGTACCATCGTGGGGCAATGGTATGATTTGCATGAAGTTCTTGGTTTCAAATCAGGAATTTTGCACCGGAACAAACCATCCCAATAAAAAAGTACAACTTTTTATTTTTAGCCAATCAATCGAATAACAAACTTCTAGAAGTTGTATATGCTTGCTTCCACTTATTTTCAATATTGTTTGGAGCAATTGAATAAAATCATATGTGGCTTGGGTTTTCAGGGCACGTTCTTAATAATTAAATTTGACTTTCAAAATCAGACCCTCTTGAAACATCATGTAGTCACTAAGTTATTACTATATCTTTTGATTTCAGCCCAGTTGATTGTATCCATTGGACTTCAGCTGCACAACTATCTTTGCTTGAAGATGAAATGAGAAGAGTGGAAAGAGTAAATGTAAGCTATATTCTCTGGTATGGTATCAAACAACTATGCACGCTTCATGGCTTTCACAATGTCTCTCCATTGCCAACAGGTAGGCTTAATGCTTTCCGGAATGGGCTATGAATCCATTGATGTTTTCAGAATGGTATTTTCTCTCTTTCCCTTCCCATTCCAAGAAATTGAATTTACCTGTCAATCGCCCCGCCATGGGGTTCATTTTTTCAATTTATATATAGAATGCGATCCCAAATCTGAATATTCTTAACAATGAGCATCTGTATGCTGCAGGCTAGGAAACGTTGGGAAAAGAGACAAGTCAAAGTCTTGGTACAATCTTATTGACATGTCTTTTCTAGTTTATAATTGTATGCCGAGTGCCACAAACTCAGAGACAATCCACTTACATATTATTGATGAAGTGATTTTTATTCCCCTCAACGAGAGATTTCTTATTTCTTTCCAAAGAATGACATAACAGAAAACAAATCTGTTTGTTGCAGGAACAAGCAAAATCTAGGATGATGAGGCAGAAAGGATCTGATAAAACTGATTCGAACTGGAGCTACATTTGGGGCAAGCCTATGGACTACGAAAATACAGGTACCCTCTTTGGGTCAAATACTCCCTCGCGGCCTCGCCCCCTGCTTTCGGGACAAAGATATATACTACTCACTCCGACCCAGAGTATTTCTCAAGTTTGACTTTTTGAGTAAAACTGAATGAACTTTAATCAACTACGTATAAATTTCGGATAGTTTTGAATAACATTAATACTCCGGGGAAAAAAGCAAAATACACCCTCAAAAAGTAGAAAAAAGGTACAATGCACCCTCACTTCTCCCAAATATCATAATCCACCCTAAAAAAGTAGAAGAAAGGTACAATGCACCCTCACTTCTCCCAAACATTATAATCCACCCTCAAAAGTTTTAGTTCCTTCCACTTTACATTCAACCATCGAGCACCGTCAAAAATAATTAACAAACCCAGGGGTATTACCGTCACTTTAATCTAACTAATCCTAGGAGATATCATTCCCTTTCTCCGTCGCCAGCACACATTTCATTCTTCTCCAATCAACCAAACACCTTATTTTCACCTTAATATAAGGGTCCGTTTGGAAAGGGGGAAAATGGCTTCTGGAAGTCATTTTCCTCATTTTCCGGTGTTTGGAAACAAAGTCAAAGGAAAATGAGGGTGAGTCAAACGGAAAATGAGCTCGCCCTCCACATCTACCCCCTCCCCTTACTATCTTCTTCCTAGAAATTTCCAGCAACTCCTTCATCGTCTTCAATAGGAGCCCTAAGTCCCTATCCGTACCCTCAATTTCTGCATTGCTACTTGCTAGATCGGAATTTCTTCTTTCCGTTGCAAATCCCCAATCAGATCTGAGTCCCTTTTTGCCACCGCTGCCGCCATCCATGACCATCGACGATTTCCGATGCAAATCGCCACCGCCATCCCCCAGTGTCGATGATTTCCAGTGCAAATCTCCTTCCCATTAGAGGACCGGATTTGGAAGTCCATGAGCCCAAAATGCAAAGTTGGAGTGTTATTATTTCCATTTTTCGTTCATTGTAGCCAAACTTTCCTGAATTTTTCAATACTAAATATTGTATGTTGTATGCCTGTTTGAAGAAATAAGTTTCTTTTTAAAGAGGGGAGGAATGATACAAGTTAGACACGTGTACTTGTTAGAGGTTATTAAGGAGCTAGTTGGAGTTATTTGTACATAGTGGTCTTATAAGTAGCCTCAAACACTTCGTAATCTGCAGTTTTTTTTCATAATAATACTACAACACAATCTTCATCATTATCTTCCTCTCAACTCTGTTCATTTTCCTGAGAATCACATCATTGATTCTCCATTAGCTTCATCCTTGAGGATTCTTCTCCGATTTCAGATCCTCCCTCATTGAACGCTTACAACGAGGTGTGGACCTCAGATGGGACGTGGAAGGCGAGCCTCTTTGGGGCTGGTTCTCTTCTTCTTAGGCAAGGTATTGAGCGCATCTTTGGGGCACGAGGCATACTCGTAATCTGCTACGGTGACGGCAACAGTGTCCTGACAATCCGATGAGTGGTGGAGCAATGACAGCGGCTGGCACGAGGTATAGTCTTCGCTTCTGGAAGTGTGAAAATGGCTGCCACCGAGGTGTGATAAGCGCTGAAATGCAGTGCGGTGTAGACTCAAATTAGAGTGACGGTAATACCCCTAGGCTTTTGACAGTGATCGATGGTTGAATGTAAAGTGTAAGGAAATAAAAATTTTGAGGGTGGATTATGATATTTAGTAGAACTGAGGGTGCATTTTACTTCTTTCTTCCCCTAATTTTTGAGGGTGCATTTTTCGTTTTACCCAAATACTCCGTATAATGAAATCATTTTTTGTATTAATATCTGATACAATTTTTATTTAATTGACAATCAAAGTTTGTGTAGTTTGACTCGTAAAAGTCAAACTAGGCGAATGCTCTAAGTCTCCAAGACAGAGGTAGTATAAGAAAGTACTAATAATTTGTTTCAGAGGAGGAAGCAAGGGAACGAGCACGCCGAGCTGCTGCAGCTGCACGGAGATGGAGAGAGTACTCTCGAAGAGGCGTCGACAAACCTCCCACTTTTAAGCTTTCAGAGGCTGCCTCCAAAGATGACTGAAGTATGTATATAGTAGTCTCACACTCTTCTGTAATATGTACATACTACAGATTACTACAGATTAGTTGTTCATGTGTTTGCAGTAAAGAAACAAAAACTCAGTAGTCTCAATTCTGTTACCCTTTGGGGTCAAGATGCTGCTGACCCAAGCAGTCTTACCCTTACCCTGTAAAATTAAAGTTGTGTGTTTTACAATGAAAAAGTTAATGACTTCCATGGTTGATTATATTTCCCAGACACCATACACGTTTATTACTAGTAAAATTTATTGTAATAGCTTGAGATTACAATATTCATTAGAGTAATACCTTTAACTTGTGACCTTATATTTAGAGAAGTTTTAGTTGTGACGATCAAACATAATGTCTTTAGTATTATCCCGTTTTTTTGTTAAAATGATGCCACTGAACGTCTGAACTACATAAGCCATTACTCGGGTATAATATTCTATTTTTGCAATTATACTCATTTTTGTTAAAGACCATTAAGGATTGACGATATGGATGGGCCAAAATCAGTTTGGTACCAAATTTAGCCTATGTGGTATTCTGGTATGGAAGGTAGCACTAATCCCTCCTTGTTGGTACCCAAAAAAGTTGGCAAGTAAGGCCATGTTATTGTTCTCTTTACTTGATCCGATTGGAATAAACTCTGATAAAATTTGAATATAGTTATATTTAAAATTATTTTTAACATGATCTGGTTTGATCTGATCTGATTCCAATAAGAACAAGTAATAAGTAAAAAACAAGTTGGGGAGAACATGTCTTAAGTCTATGCATTTACCAATCATACCGCATCTCTATTCATTTTCTTATACATACATCTTAAATTTTAATTGTTAATAAAAATTTAAAACAATTTTTTTAAAATTAATATTTACAAGATATATGTACAAACATATCATATACTTTTCAAACCCATTTTTAAATCCAAATTCCCCAAAAAATCAGTTTTTACAATCTACAAAAAAAATTGATTCTTTTAACTCCCATAATATTCTACAAAAACAAGATTTTAAATTAAACGAATCAAAACTATTGGTTTAAGATTTTTGTTAAAAAAATAGTTATAGTAAGTTGACGAATTGACATACTTACAACCTCGAATTTAGTAAAAACTATGAAATTTGATGTGGTACTAATGTGTTGTCATTTTTATGTTTTTTTTGTGTTTCCAGTATTTTTTGTATTTTCAAATTAATTATTTAAAAATTAAATCTGATTTAACTATATTTTTTTGCAATAGGTTATAACTCGCTTACATTGTTTTCAATTGTACAATTTTATTTTACCATACACCATGGAGAGTCAAAACCAAATTATTCATTTATAAGATGCAGGGAGTATTATTTAATAACATTTTATATTATTTTTTATATAATTGGTTGGAGTTAATTTTTTTTAAAAATATCTTAAAGTTAAATTATGTTTTTGGTTTAATTTAATTATGTTAAAAATTTATTGTATTAAATTGATAAATTGGCATGTGTACACCCCACCAGTAGTAAAAAATATATGAAATTAGTAGAATAAGATGTGGCGATGATGTGGATGAGATAGATGATAATATGATATAATAAAAAAAAGTATAGAGTGTAATTGAAAATGTACTCGTGTACAATAAAATAGAGTAAGAATATAATGGAAAACATACTCTCTACATTCTATAAAATTCTTGATACTTTGAATTCGAGTTAAGTGCACAGTTTACCCCCGAATTATTTGAAAATTGCATGGTTTACCCCCGAATATTAAAAAGTGCACCAAATACCCCTGAATTCTTCAGAAATTGCACGGTTTACCCCTGAACAATAAAAATTGCACCAAATACCCCTGAACTCTTCGAAAATTGTATTATTTACTCCTGAACATTTAAATAAAGACGAAAATTTTGGGTAAAGGTACTCTGGAAAATTCACAAGAGTCAGATGTATCATGTTCACAATTCTTGTGCGTGGAAGCAACGCCCTCCCTATTTAATAGTTTATGACCAATGATGCAACGTTTTAATTTGTTCAAAGGTATTTGATGTATTTTTTAGTCTGCAGGGGTAAATCGTGCAATTTTCAAAGAGTTCAGTGGTAATTGGTGCACTTTTTAAAGTTCAGGGGCAAAACATGCAATTTTTAAAGAGTTTGGGGTAAACGGTACACTTAACTCCTTTGAATTCACTAAGTTTATAAAAGTTTTTAAGTAGTGAAAGGTATGTGGTTAGAAAATTTATTTAAATGATACTTCATCCGTCCTAAAAAAGATTGTAATGGTTTGACTTTTTCTGTCAAAGTGTGCAACACTTTGACCACAAATTATTGAAATATATTTAATTAATGAAAATTTAGTAAAATTATGTTTATTTTAAAATATTATTTTGAAATACCAAATTTTCATAATGTTTAATTATTTTAAATTATATTTAATTCGTGGTCAAAAAGTGACATAGTGACAAAAAAGTCAAACCGTGGTAATCTTTTTGGGACGAAAAGATGTTAGAATTGTTGGTAACTACATGATCATTACCAAAGTAATAAATAAAGTAAATGTAAGACGTTTTTGGAACATCTAGAAAAGGAAAATGTAGAAAAATATGCCATGAAGAGAGTAGTAATATTATTTCTGGTAAGCATGTCTTGGGTTCGGTCAAATCTTTAGTCAATTTAGGCCTTGTTTGGAAACATCGTTTTCGATTAGCGTTATCGTTTTGGATAAAATTTTAATGGTGTAGATTAATTCTGAAAACGCTAACGCTAAAAGCTACCGTCGGATAGCCTTTTCAAAACGCTGACGCTAATCTCTAACGCTGATGCCAAACGGGGCCTTAGTTGGTTGTTTTGTATTCGAGTCACAACATTGTTGCTTAGAATAATCCAGTATTTTCAGATTTAATTTCATACTCTAATTAAAACAATCCAGTATCCCCTTATACTATAAGACCCTATGCCGTTTACTGCCGTCAGCAAAGCCCTTTTTCTGTCTGGCTACTATGCACCCAATTCCTACGCCTCAATCACTATTTTTCCCTTCTCTACTACTCCCTCAGTCCCGAAAAACATGAGAGTTTTGATTTTAAAGAAGGATTTAAGGGAGTGTATTTTGGTATTGAATTTCTAAAAATGTCTTTTGATGTGATGGGTAAAAGTATGATTTGATGGATAGATTATTAGTAAAAAAGTATGATGTGATAGGTAGGGTATGAAAAAGTAAGGGGTAAAAGTGACTTATTAATAGAAATGAGAAGTGTTTTTTGGGAATGAAGAAGGGAGAAAGAAAGGTTTTGGGAAGAAGGGAGTATGTCACTTTCCGTCTCTAAACAAAAGCTCTTGCTCTTTCTTCACCGCCACCGCCCCACGATGTTTGCCACCGCCCCACCATCCCCGTCCTTCTGACATGCTTATTTAACCGCCTCACCATCCCCGCCCCATCCGTAATTTTTCTATGTTCTTCTCATTTTCCGTCTCTTCTTTTGCTTGACCTCTCTCTTCTTTTCTTCTGTGGTTTTTATTTTCTGATCTTGTCCCCCATTGTGCCCTTGCTGGTTAATTTCTCTTTTGTACTCAAAGATTTTGTAAGTTTAGGTTTTGTTCTGGCATGTACGAATTTAGAACTGCTCTAATTGAAAGTGTTAGATGCTGATTATATCTCTTTGCTATAGAATATGTAGAAAGAATATTTTCATTGATGATTTGTGTTAATTACATGTGTATTTATACAAGGGGTCTCAATCCTAATTATGGTAGGAGAGACATAGTAGGAAGGTAATACAATTATGGTAACACTATAATACAAGAATAATTAAATATAAATAATATATTTAACATGCTCCCGGCTACGTCGGATGTGGAAGCGGTTTGAGACCCAAGCTGTTTCGGAAGTCAAGGAACAGAAGTGAGGGCAGTCCTTTGGTAAAAATGTCGGCATACTGGGAGGAAGATGGAACATGCAAGACCCGAACATGACCGAGTGCCACCTTGTCACGTACGAAGTGTATATCGACCTCCACATGCTTTGTGCGCTGATGCTGGACGGGATTGGTGGAGAGGTAGATTGCGCTGACATTGTCACAGAAGACAAGGGTGGCACGCCGGAGAGGTTGCTGCAGCTCAAGGAGAAGGTTACGCACCCAAGTGGTTTCGGCTACGGCTTTGGCTACAGCCCTGTACTCAGCCTCGGCGCTTGATCGCGAGGTGGTTTCCTATCGTTTGGATGACCAGGAGACCAGGTTATCACCCAAAAATACGCAGTAGCCTGAGGTGGAACACCTGGTGTCTGGGCAGCCGGCCCAGTCTGCGTCAGAGTAGGCCTGGAGAAAGTCTGTGGCAGATGGTGACAGATGAATGCCATGGGTGGTAGTGCCACTCAGATATCGTAGAACGCGCTTCATGGCAGTGAGATGAGCATCGCGGGGTGCATGTAGGTGGAGGCAGAGCTGCTAGACTGCATAAGTGATGTCGGGCCGTGTGAAGGTGAGATACTGTAGTGCTCCCACAATGGACCGGTATAAGGAAGGATCTGGGAGTACTGTGCCTGTAGAGGAGGATAATTTTGCCTGTAGAGGAGCATCCCAGCACGCTCGAGTATGTCATGTATGAACTGAGTCTGGTGAATGAAGAGCCCTGTAGAGGTGCGCTGAACATTAATGCCAAGGAAGAAGTGTAGATCCCCCATGTCTGTCATAGCAAATTCTGTCTTAAGCTGATGGATGAGGCTCTAAAGAAGTGATGATGAGGAGGCAGTGAGGACGATGTCGTCCACGTAGAGGAGGAGGTAGGCTGTTCCTGTGGTGTGGGAGAAGATGAAGAGTGATGTGTCAGCCTTGCAACCCCGGAAGCCAATGGACTGGATGAAGCCTGCAAATCTGTGGTACCACGAGCATGGAGCTTGCTTGAGCCCATAGAGTGCCTTCTTGAGTTTGCATACATAGTGGGGTCTGGCGGCATCCTGAAACCCAGAAGGCTGGCTAGCATAGACTGTCTCCTGAAGGTGCCCATGTAGGAACACGTTTTTGACATCAAGCTGGTGGATGGGCCAACCCTGAGACAGTGCGAGGCTAAGAACGATTCGAACAGTGGCTGGCTTAATGACAGGGCTGAAAGTCTCGTCGTAGTCGACACCAAAACGCTGATTGAAGCCACGGACCACCCAACGAGCCTTATACCTGGATAACTCACCGGAGGGACCAAATTTGTGTCTAAAAAGCCATTTACCGGTGATTATATTTTGTGAGGGGGAGGGGGTACTAATTCCCATGTGTCATTCTTAATCAACGCATTAAATTCATCACACATAGCAGCGTGCCAGTTAGGATCTTTAAGTGCACTACGGTAGGTTGGGGGGAGGGGTGAGATGGGGCCGGAGGTGTCGAGATTAAGAATTTGTTTAGGACGAAACACCCCAGATTTGGATCGGGTTTGCATGGGGTGTGTATTTGGGCCGGGGCCAGGGAGTGGG